CATGGGCGTAATGGCGCCCTAATGCTGGTTCACGTCGTTCGCGTGCATAGGAAGCAGTGTCGTTTGAGTGTTCAAGTAAAGGCGGCCACATTGCTACAACTTGCTGGGCCTATCATTAGATGTTGTGTTGTCGTTGTCGTGTTTCCTGTTTCGAATAATTTGGACGGCTTTCCGTCGCGAGTTGGTTTCCAATTTTCAAGGTAAGTCTAAGTTATTTTCCACTTCTCAGTCGCTCTGTCGTTCTCTTCCTTTCTTCGAAAGTGCTGCACAGCTCTCGGGAATTTAAGCTTACTTACCGACAAATGCCTTACTCCATGTTACTCCTTGCTTTTTCATTCAGGTGTTGCTAACCGAGTTTCCTGGGCGACTGGATTTACTTTGGTCACGCAGGCCATTGAAATTTTCTTAAGCCATGGCTATATATAGTCACATTGAGATGTGATTTCAGTCGAACTGCTGAACTTGCTGGAACTGTTTGTTATCGTGTTAAATGGCAAGATCAATCTGCGAGTATCATCGGCTACCTCATCACATGTTCACCGGGGATGCTGGAATTTGATGCTTGCGNAGATGTGATTTCAGTCGAACTGCTGAACTTGCTGGAACTGTTTGTTATCGTGTTAAATGGAAAGATCAATCTGCGAGTATGATCGGCTACCTCATCACATGTTCACCGGGGATGCTGGAAATTGATGCTTGCGATTTTTATTTAACTGTGTTTTACTTGCCAACATCGCAACAAATTAAGCTTATGTACACTATGACAAACCGGAATCAAATGATATTTTGGTTTATACATAATGAGGTTCTACTACTACATATCACACTGTTCTTATGGCAAACTGAATGTTGTGGAAGAAAGTCCAGGCCTCACAATATTTGATATGATTGGTCCAACGACCACTGTGTCTGTAGACTACAAATCAAGGAAGTGAAATACTCTTTGGTGAAAATGCTGGTAAGCAATGTGTTGAATTGTCTCATCAAATAGAATATATTAATTTGCAAACTTATTTCACTGTAAATATGATTATTGAAAGTGACCTCAATAGCTCTTCAAGATTTTCTGTACGAACAATAGACTTTTCTGTAGACTGATACACGTAGCTAACTGACTT